CAAGTCACAAAAGCACAGCCGTGGGCCTGGGCTGGTTTTGGTAGTCCTGGGACTCTGCTGGGAAACGTACAGCAGGCCAGTTAGGTCAGTGTTGTGGGACGCAATCTAGACTAGGCTGCCTCAGAGATACACTAACGTTAGATGGGGTCGGTCATTTTTAGACCAATCTAGTCTTCCTGAACCTCTGTACACTTCGCACTTAGACAGACTGAAATAGGGCTCTAAGTGGATGGTCTGCACATGGGCAAGCTAAGCTAGATCTGGTGCTCATTCTTTTACATGCTCGAACCTCCCTTAACCTCCCCAAATGTCTATATGTGCCCTAAAAGTGCCACATCCAGGGAGACTCTGACATTCCAGGGAAGTAATTCAAGGGCATAAAAATCTCAACATTATGCCTTAAGTGGAATGATGTATACTTTTCACAGTTGATATTGCACTCCCTGGCTGAGTCTACACATTCATTAGTGCCATGTAGTTACCGCCCATTTACTTCAGTAAATGTAAAAACAGGAGCTAAACCAAACCCAAAACTGTCACTAGTGCAGAGTAGCGTCGGCACACGGGTAATAGCAGCATGCAGAAGACTAATTCAACTGCACATTATTGTATTCACATGTCTATCACCATGATACGCTAAGGGAGCATAGAATTGGTTTTGTGTGCATTAAGTGTTTCATGAGGGGGGCTTTCCATTGTGTGTCATCTGCACGGGGAGTACGGGGCAGCCTACAGCCAGGAAAAGGAGGGAGCTCTGCATGCAGCTGTGGGGAGTGACATTGAACTGAACAGCTGAGAGGGTGGACGGGAGCTTGGGCAGGGGGGCATGCTTTCCAGTACAGTGTGCCACCTTCAGCTCTGCCACCCCTGGACCTGCATCCCTCTGCTGCCTGGAAGTTGTACAGCCTTGCTGTTATAGGAACATGCTTTCTAGAACTGAAATATATTTATGGGACAAAGGGCTGTGATTGATTATATGACCCCTGGCCCCAGATTCGGTACAACTGATGACGCTACGATAGGTTCTTGCCCTTCTCTGAAGAGGAAAAGCTGATGCTTTCTCCCTTACTTGGATGTTCTGTGTCAGTATGCCAGTAGGATGTAAGAACTAATATAATGACTCATGGCCATAAGAGCAACTGCATTGTGAGATCATTTCCACCCCAAAGCTGTATGTATTGATGGATTATCACATCTTCATGCCGTCCTTTCCTGTGCATTTTTCAGGTTTAGTTACAACATTTTTAACTACATTGGAAGAACCAACCAGGAAATAATATTAAGCAAGTAGGAAATTCCTTATTTTACAAGCAGAAAAATACCTGACCTTTTGGAAGAAGAAAGATAGCACTTACCAATTTCAGACTTCTGTTTCACTAAACAAAATCAAATAGAAATCATTACTAACAAGATCATCTGTTACAGCAAATAAAGCAATGAATTCTTACGGGTGAAATTCACCGGTGGTTTGAAGATGTGCGGCAGGTTTTCTGACACTTGCATAGTTTCATGTCCTTAATGTGAAGAGCACGAGGTTGTGCTTTCTCTGTTTCTTATGTATTATGTGTCTGTATTTCATTAGTACGTAACTACTATAAAGAAGGGCTAATGGGAAAAAGGGAAACTGCTCCGTGAGATCTCTCCCACCCCTAAGCTCTCTATTTCTATTTCTTTTCACATTTCCATATCCCCCTTCTCTACAAATTTTCTCAGCTTTTGTCATGTCCTTCTAAATTACATACTGAGAGCATCCGCAGTAATGAATTTAGCAATCACTCGTATGGAAACACAACTTCTTTCAAAAAATCTACCTTTTGGAACAAGGGTCAGGACACTTACCAATTTCTGCATTCTTGGTCTCTAAACAAATAAAAACAAATAGAAATCATTATTAAAGGCTTACTTTGTTACAGCAAATGTAACAGAATACGTAAGGCTTGTGCCGCTGCATCTTCACCTGCAATGGCTTGTGCAAGCTACACAAGTCCGCTAGCACACGTCGCCATTGCACTTTGCTGTGCTAGAGGATTTGTGTGTGGCTAGGTGCCTGCCTGCCAGCCTTTATTTGGCTGTAGTACAGTCTTATCCTTCTGATCATGGATTTATTAGATGACAGATACTTAGTAACTACACTATATTCATTCCCCAGGCATTTCCTGTTATTCTGAAGAGATATATGGCCAGGATTATGAAAATTAACAAACCCGTTTGGTTTACTGAATAAATGAAACAAAATATTCTGTAGGGTTTTACTACCCACGTGAGATTAGAGCTATGTGTCAAAAGGCAGTAACCTATTTCCAGACCTGAATATTCTTGTTTTTTTATCAAAATGATCACTCCACCCTCCCTTCATGGTAGAAATACACATGTGGGGAGGTTAGGGGCAGGTAAGATCGAGTTGAAAATGGCTATCTGATGTAAAGCAGGTTGCGGGGCATGGGGCAGACTAGTGGGAAGACCTGTTGGGGTCATGGGGCAGGAGCCCCTTTGAGTGGTTTCCAGGGAGCAGACTTCAGCTACAGGGGTATTGTGGGGAGGGGGCAAGCAAGGTCTGCAGGAGGTCTGGAAGACTATGGGGGAAAGCAGGTCCACAGAGGGATCTACAAGATGGTAACACAAAGTGCGGTCCAGGCAGGAGAAGGGGAGGGATGCAGGGTCCAATGGGCGGATATGGGAGATTAAAAAGAGGAGTGACTTCCCTAGAGTGGATCGGAGAGCAAATTTGGTTTACAGATTGGGGATCAGAGGGTTCACGGGTCAAACAAGATCTCCAGGAAGGGGTTTGAATGGCTCCAGGAGGGTTGGTAACATCAGGGTGGCAGGTGGGGAGTTCAGGTAGACTTGGATGTATGGGTGCTCTCTGCTGCTCTGAGACCAAGGGTTATTTTGGCCCCTTATTCCTCACACCCGAAGGAAACCAGCCCCGCCACACACACACACTGAGCCTACCCTCCACCCCCCGCTCACCCTGACTTGCTTCCTAATATCCTGGCACAAGTGAACACCTTTAAAACCGGAATCAGAAGTACCTGGTGGGATTGGGGATTTGGTCAGCTTGGTGGGGGTTGGTTTCTCCACAGGCGAGTTTGTCTATTTAGGGCTGGCGTGAGAGCCCAAAGGAGTAAAAATAGCCTGGTGCCTGGGGGCTAGTCACAAAAGCACACCCCTGGGCCTGGGGTCTGGGGCTGTTTTTGCCAGTACTTGGACTCTGCTGGAAACCGTACAGCAGGCCAGTTGGGTCCGTGTTGTGGGAACCAGTCTAGACTAGACTGCCTCAGAGGTACACTAATGCTAGATGGGGTCAGCCATTTTTAGACAAGTCTAAGCTTCCTGAACCTCTGTACACTTCGCACATAGACAGACTGAAATAGGGCTCTAAGTGGACGGTCTGCGCATGGGCAAGCTAAGCTACATCTGGTGCCCATTCTTTTACATGCTCGAACCTCCCTTAACCTCCCCAAATGTCTATGTGTGCCCTAAAAGTGCCACATCCAGGGAGACTCTGGCTTGCCAGGAAAGAAATTCATATGGCATAAAAATCTCAACATTATGTCTTAAGTGGCATGATGTATACTTTTCATAGTTGATATTGCACTCCCTGGCTGAGTCTACACATTCATTAGTGCCATGTAGTTACTGTCCATTTACTTTAGTAAATGAAAAAACAGGAGCTAAACCAAAGCCAAAATGTCAGTAGTGCAGAGTATCGCCGGTGCATGGGTGATACTAGCATGCAGAAAGCTAATGCTACTGCGCATTATTGTAATCGCATGGCTATCACCATGACACGCCATGATACCATAGAATTGGTCTTGTGTGCATTAAGTGTTTCATGATGGGAACTTTCCATTGTGTGTCATCTGCACGGGGAGTACGGGGCAGCCTACAGCCAGGAAAATGAGGGAGCTCTGCATGCAGCTGTGGGGAGTGACATTGAGCCATTCAATTTAAAGCCAGTTGCGGGGGATGAGGGAGGCAAGTGGGAGGATCTGTCAGGGTCGGTGGGCAGGGGAGTTTTGAGGAGGGTTCCAGGGATCAAGCAGGGTCTATCGGGATATTGTGGGGAGGGGGCAGGCAAGGTCTGCGGGAGGTCTGGGAAACTATGGGGGAAAGCAGGTCCACAGAGGGATTTTAGGATCATAAGGAAAAGCATGGTTCAGGAGGCAGAAGGGGAGGGAGACAGGGCCCTCTGGGCCGATTTGGGAGATTAAAAGGAGAAGTGACATCCCCAGAGTGTGTCGGGGAACAAGTTTGGTCTTCAACGTGGAGATCAGAATGATTTCATGGCAAATAGTGTCTGCAAGAAGAGGTTTGGGCGGATCCAGGCGGGTTTGGTAGAATCATTGGGTGCTCTTTGCTCCTCTGAGACCAAGGGTGATAGTGGTCCCTCATTCCTCGCACCCCCAGCAAACCAGCCTTCCCATTGAGCCAACCCCTGCCCTTCCCCCTCCCTGCGCACATCCTGACTTACTTCCTGAGCTGCTGGCTAAAGAGGTCCTAAAAAGGGCAGGTAGATATTCCCCCCTCTGAAGCAAAGGGAGAAATTACATGTGTAGTCCCAGGTTTGTGGCTCCCAGCTACCCAGAATCTGGACAACTTGAATTTCGAGGACTAGACTTTTTATGCATGAAATGTACACCTGGAAGAAAAGGATGTGATCGATTGGGAAAATTGTGTGCAGATATTCTACAACTGCTGACACTTGGATAGTTTCATATCCTTAATGTAAAGAGCAAGAGGCTGTGGTTTCTCTGTTTGCTATGTATTATGTGTCTGTATTTCATTAGTATGTGGCTACTATAAAGAAAGGAGAATGGGAAAAAGGGAACTGCATTGTGAGATCTCTTCCACCCCAAAGCTCTATATTTTTATTGCCTGTCATTTCTTCATATTACCCTTTCCGATGAATTTTCTCATCTTAAAGAACGCAATCACTCTTATGGGAACCTACTTTGTCCCAAGTATTGTCCTTTTGGAAGAAGAGGAATGAGACTTACCGATTTCTGCATTCTTTTTCTCTAAACAAATAAAGACAAATACAAATCACTATGAAGAGTATATTTTGTTATAGAAGATGTAAGAGAATACAATAAAATATGTGCTGCTGCATCTTCACCTGCAATGGCTTGTGTCAACTACACATTTCTGCTAGCACACGTCCCAGTTGCACTTTGCTGTGCTGAAAGCTTGGTGTGTGGCAGCATGCCTACCTGCCTGCCTTTGTTTGCTGCAGGAAAATCTTATTCTTATACAATTTGTTATATTATAATAAAATTAATTTCTAACTACAGTTTATTCCTTCAGTGTTTACCTTTTATTCTGAAGAGATATATGGTCAGGATTATTAAGCTGGACAACACCACCAGGATCACACACAGTGCCACCATCCAGGGATTCACGCTTGGAAAAAAGAAAGCTGAAAAACAAGGTGCCAGGGGCATGTTTTATATTGTAACTTGTGACCAACATGAAATATATTTATTCCAAGGAAATACACGCATAGCTCCCCACTAGAATTTCCTGAGATGCAAATGACAATAGCAAATCTGAGCAGCATACAAAGATTAAAAACTGGATTTAATAACCAAGAAACTGACTTTGGCACTAATTTATCTGTGAATAAGCAGCAAACAATGTCTCCCAGATTTAAATCCTGTTTCACCTCATGACTAAGTGGCCATAAAGAAGCCACTGCAAATTTGGCACTTGTGCAGCATTTGGATTCCAGTTCTATCTGTAATGGAAGAGGAGCACCCTTTATAGAAACCTGCTAGAAACAAAATAAAACTTTAAATCCTCCTCTGTCTTTTACAGCACTGAAGAACTGCTACATATAGTTCTATTGTGAGTAAAGTTATGGGATCTATAATTACATATATGCTCCAGTATCTATACAGCCATAATACAGCGTACTCAGAGGGAAAGTCTACAGCAACCACAATTATATATCTACACTGTGCATAAATGCAAAAAATCACACCTCCGGAGTTGTGTGCCAAGTGGTCCTCCATTCACAAAAGCCAGATAAAGTATACTGCTTAAAAAAAGTTCTGTTTTTCCAGTCACCTTCTTCAGGAGACATAAATAAGGAACCTTTGTACCTAAACAGTTGTCTAGCATCTTTCCCATGTTGGTTCAGTAAAAGATACCACCAAAGCCCCCTGCACTTCTCCCAGACTATTAGGACCATTATTTCTACCAACCCTGCTATAGCTTTTAGTTATCATAGGTGTACGTCTTGTTCAGATGGGTCCAGAAGGAATCCCAAAACGCAAACAGGACCAGATCCACTAGAGAATAGAGGACTTAGGAACCTACAAAAGAGGTGCTGCAACACATTACTTCTAGGCTACTGGCCCATGGGGTGTGATCCAAAACAGACTCCTAGCACCTTCAATCCATAGGGATTTTAGCAACCACAGAATGGGATCCCAAAACTCACATGCTGAGCAGGGCACTGCAAGCAAGAGGAATGAGTGAGCAGTAGCACCGGGATTTTAGGACAGATGCCTGCAAGGATTCTTTGGAAGAAATAAGACAGGCCACTACAGGAAGAGCCACCTGTTATATGCCAGCCCTATATTCAGAGCATTCACCAAGGAAGTGAGATCGAGTTTCTGTACCTACCTTGGTCTGGATTCAAACCCTCCCCTCTGACAACGCAGAATGTTTCCTAACCAGCAAGATGAAGGTTTAGAGATGGGGTTTGAGTGGCAATATTACCATGTTGCAATATATTGCAGGGAAATTCAATGCATTATTTATAAAGCACACTCCTGGAACCTCTCTGATGGAAACAATGAGGTGCACAAATTTGAATTAGACTTGTAAGAAAGCATTTTTTCAGTGCAAAAAGTTTAAATGGTAATTAAACAATTTTTATTCCCACAGAGAATAACTATTCTAATACAATAAAAGCCTTGTCTGTGGGTCTGTCTGTCCATAATGCTCTGGGCCAACTGTGCATGTGCTGCCAAGGGGGCAGGAGGCAATTGCCTGCACGGCCCAGGCTGCAAAGGCCTACGTTCTCGCCACTGCTAGGGAAGTTTGTGGCAGTGGTGAACATGCCCCAGCCCTGAGCAGCAGGGTTGCCCCTGCTTCCCTGCCTGAGGGCAAAGGGAGAGATCATGGTTGCAGCAACCCCCTGCCACCCAGCTCCGCCATCCCTCAGAGCAGCCAGAGGAGAGGGGAGGAAGGGAGCAGGGAGGCAGGCAGACCCAGAGCAGTGGGGAGTGGGTTGCATCTGATGCATTTGGGGGTAGGGGACAGTGGGATCAAACCGGATGTGGTTGGGGGGTAGTAGGGTCACACAGGATGTGGTTGCACCTGATGCAGTGGGTGGCGCAGAGAATTGGGGGTTGCCCCCAACCTGGCAGGGGGTGGTGCGGGGAGGAAAGTCACACCTGACATGGCGGAGTGGGAAGGGCAGCGAGGTCGCACTCAACATGCTGAGGGGGCGGCATTAGGGTCACACAGGATGTGGAGAGGTGGGCAGCGGTGGGGCAGGGGGAAGTGGGGTCACACCTGAGGCGGCAGCGGGGAGGAGTTGGATGAGGGTAGTGGGGGAACAGGAGGGTGTGAGGCTGGACGTAGGGCTCCGTCCCTGCCAGCCCCCACTGCTATTCTTGGCAGGCAATTTGCTAGTATCAGTCCAAGCACCTTTAAACCATAACCTTATGCAGGCTAAAGGCAAGGTGGTACAACTTTTCTATGTATCATTCGGTCAGAGGACATTTTTACATATACTGCAGGGCGGGGGGGTGTCAAAACTGCAGGCATGTTAGTCCCTGCTGAGGCCACAAATCCTGCCAAGTGTCAAGGAGATAGGTGCAGGGTTTTGGGGGAAACTGTATGTCTAGATGTGGACAAGCAAAACTCATGACTTGAGTGACTGTGTGTGTGTAAGGCGCAGTAGGGTGAAAGCTGCAGGCCTGCTAGCCCCTGCTGAGGCCACAAAGCCTGCCAGATGTCAAGGAGATCGGTGCAGGGGGGCTCGACGGCTGACAGGCAAAACTCATGACAGGGTTGCTTGTGCAACTGACTGTGTCTGTCTTGGGGCAGAGGGGGCTGAAAACTGCAGGCCTTCTAGCCCCTGTTGCAGCCACAATGTTGGCTACGAAGGACCAACTCCCAGGAACATCATAAAATTCTAGTTTATCAGATGGATGCAAAAGCCAGATCATAAACCTTGGGGCTGATCCCCACAAACACACACACACTCACAGTAGCTAACTATGAATACTAAGTACCGGTGTCAAGATATACCTACCCCCAAGAGCTGGAGTCCCTGAGTGAATCACGGCTGATTGCATAACACAGTAGCTAGCTACTACAATAACGAGTTAATGAGCAACAATTAACACCTATGAAACCACAGACTAAGGAGAGGAAAGAATCAATATGGAGCCGGGATCTCCTTCAAATTTCACTGTTAAAGGTACAGAAGCCCTGGTTTGAACTAATGAACACTGGAGACCGACTCTTGGGACTGAATACCCCCAGATCGACCACTCCCAGAGCCCTATTAATCACAGCAGTGAATTAAACAAAAGTCATCAACCGACTCCCAAGACTGCATGTACTCATGGACGTGACCCCTGGGGCTGACAACTGCCATCCAGCAGCCACCAAGGAAGACATCCCATGAGGTCAACGACCCCTGGATTGGATAAGCCCGAGAATTGGGGAGTCACCAAATTCTGCCAGAGAGGGGTAAAAGGCAGTGAAGAATGAACCCCAATGGCACCTTCTTTGACCTGACCAGCACCCTGCCTGTCCAGTCAGAAGGACCAGCTTGCAGCCCCCTACTGAAGTGACATTGAGCTGAAAGAAGCCTTGACTGGCCATCGATGGCAGACTGCAGCACTTGGGGATAGGTGCATCTTGACATAGGTGCTTAGTATTCATAGCTAGCTACTGTGAGTGTGTGTGTGTGTGTGTGTGTGAGTGTGTGTGTGTTTGAGGGGATCAGCCCCAAGGTTTATGATCTGACTTTTACATCTATCTAATAAATTAGAAGTTTATGCTGATCGTGCAAGTTGGGCCTTTGTAGCCAACATCTTGTCTGCAGCAGGGGCTAGCAGGCCTGCAGTTTTCACCCACCTCTGCCCCAAGACTGAAACAGTCAGTTGCACAAGCACCCATGTCGTAAGTTTTGCCTGTCACCAGCTAGGCGTGCAGGGCCCCAGAACTGCCCTGCACCTATCTCCTTGACAGCTGGCAGACTTTATGGCCTCAGCAGGGGCTAGCAGGCCTGCAGTTTTAACCCCGCTGTGGCTTCACACATACAAGTGACATGAGTTTTGCTTTCACGATTTTGGGGTGCAGTTTCCCCAACCCCCCTGCATGTATCTCCTTGAAACTTGGTAGAATTCATGCCATTACTAAGGGCTACCATTCCTGCAGGTTTCATCAAAATCAGGCCAGAAATGACAAAGTTATAGGCTGCTATAACTTCCCCATTATAGCCTATCGGCAAAACATCAAAACAGGGTTGAAATGGCGAAACGTTTCGAATTGCCTCATTTTGTTTCGAGGTTGTTTTGACCATATCTATTTCATGTTTATTTTTCTGTTTCAACCTCGAAACGAGTTGAAACAACATCAAAACAAAACTGGAAGCAACATTTTGCACAGCCCTATTCTCTAGCCCAGCCCCCTGCCTGAGGTAGGACCTTCTATATCCAAATTGTCCTGTACAAACCCATTGTCTAGTCTGTTAGAAAACCTATAGTCAACCCTGACCAGTGCCGCAGCAACAAGTGTGCCTGTGAGTGCACAAAGCAGCAGGAGCCACACTTCCCCATCCCTGCACCCCCAAAATGAGCTGCTCATGGATCTGTCCCATGCTGCACCCTGGGAGGGCAGCACCTGTTGGCCCCCTTCACTTCAGCACCCAGGGTGATCTCCCGGCTCACCCCCATCTGGCTACGGTGTTGACCCTAACTCAACTACAAGACATAACACCCTAAACTGCATTAGATAAAACAGGCCGGGGAGGGGGTGGGGAGCGGAGTGACAGCTAATGTCTTACTGCTCTGAGGTTTGTTTAAATTATGCTTAGAGACCCAAGGAAGAGGGCCATGCCCCGCTACTACAGATGAAGAGAAATCCCAAACAGTCCATACCAATCTAACCAGGGGATAAAAATCCTTGACTCCAAATATATCAATTTGTTTGACCTTAGGCAAGACCCCAGGATTTTGGGTTGTGGGTTATGCCCCCGAAGGAATGCTTGAGCCCCAGTCAAAATCCCCAGCAAAGGCAAATATATAGATTTATGCCCTGAATCAGTGAACTCAATGAGTGTGTAGGCAAGGGCAAAATGCCTCTGGAGCACAACTGCTACTGAAAAGACCATTAAAAAAATTAGTTCCCCTTGTAACTACTTTTAAAACTATATTTAAAAAACTACTTCTTGTAAAAGTACTCTTACAAGAGGAGCAACAACACACAACTTAGTTTTCATTTTTTTATGACAAATAATGAACAATGATTCAGTGCAGTAAAAGGCCTTAAAGAGTTCAGAAATAAATCAATACCAATAGATAGATGCTGTGAAAATACCTATTAAAAATTCACTGAGGCAAACCTCAGACTATAGAAATATCCTGCACTGATGTTTTGAGTGACTGTCTCTGCCAGGAAAAAAATGAGTTTTTTTAAGGTAAAATTTCAGAAATTTGACTGAGATAAAATCAAGATTCTGATTAACTGCATATACACAGTTAAATGAATTTCTATCAGGACCCTGTGGAAATGCTAGCCATGTTTGTGTTTACCCCATATTTCACTTGGTTTCCAGACCAGGTGGTTCACTGCAGGGTTTACCAGGAACTGACCTGATATATGAATTGCTGATTCCTTCTCTCGGTCGAGGAGGCTGTTCCTGATCCAACAGGACAAGTTCTGGTTTGAATCTTCCTTTATGACAGCAGAAATTTTTGTTTCAAACAGGCCATTTTCTTTTTGGGATTTTATTTCAGAAAGTGATGGTATATGATGCCGATGGGAATTTCTCCACAGCACTTGGGGCTCTGGGTACCACCCAGCTGATCGACACATCACCAGGATCCCTCCATTCTGGTAATCCTCCACTGAGATGATAGGATTAGAGCCTAAACCTAGAAGAAAATTGGTAATTTTTAATATTTCTTAAATTCATGAGCCAATTTTATAAAGGACTGTGGAAATGTTATTCCTGCTATAAAGACTTCCTGGGTATAGCAGAGCAAGGAATACTTTCTATTAACAACTACAGAAATTAGATATTCCTGGATGTGATAGCTGAGAGATTTTATCATCAAAAGTCACTGAGCCAATAAGAAATTATGGTAATTCAGATTGGATTTTGGTAGGTAATGAGGGCATTATAAAAGACTGTAGGCTTCAAACATGGTCATGGACTGAAACACCACAGTATGAAGTGCAGACTCTGGACCCAGCAGAAGCCTAAGTTATTAAGCTTGCGTTCTAGCCATCATCAAAGTGGAGCTAGTTAGAATCCTACTACATGACAGGGTGCTTCTTTGTTGCCTGAATATGGCAAGGCAGAAATGAATAATTATTTGTTGCCACTAAAGATAATTTTCTGCCACTAACGATTATTTTTCAAATTGATTACATTATATCTTTTTTTTATAGTAATAATAAATGTAACCAGATTTATTCATCATTTTATAATACATATTTGTGTTCAAGTCTCTACGATGTAAAAACAAAGCTGCCTCACCAATACAAACTCTAAACAAGGTGAAAGGAAGGGGATAAGCAATCTTCCCCTCCCAGAAGTGTATATTTCATGGGAACATAAATCCTAACTAATTGATATCTTCCAAATCCATAGGACAACTGGTTCAGTGCACTTCCAAAAGTTTCCATGAAACAAAGAAAACTGAATAAAAACAAATGAGAGAATAGCTCATATATATTAGAAAAAGCCATTTATAAATATAGGGTAAGGCTAGAGGGAAAAGGGGAGGAAGAGCTCCACGCCCCCCATCCCGCCTTAACTGAGTGTTGATATTTAAAGGCATTGTAGCTGTACATTAATTCCATATCTAAGCTTGCAAAATAGGTCATAATCATAGACAGGCTAAAATCTTGTCACTCTAGAGGTCAAATATTTCTGAGGTTTTCCTAAGACGGGCTGCTCATGCAAAATAATCTTGGGAACTGACTGATTACAAATTGACAGGGTTCAAATTAAATGGAAAAATAAACAAAATCAGGACTGTAACTGAGGTTTGGGATTTCAAAAGAGGAAAAATTGATTTTAACAAAATGAATTAGTTGCTAAAGTCAACTGAGGTAAAATTGAAATACAGGGCATTTTTAGACATGCAAGGGGTACTGGGTACTTTGAAAAGCGCCTGGTGCAGCACCACATGTAGTTGTATAAGTGGCAAAATGCACGTCAGCACTGAGAAAATGGCTGTGACATGCTTTTGAACTAAAACATATAGAAGGTGTTTTAGGTCCAAAACTTGCCACCACCATCTTCTGCGTGCTGATGAAAATTTCACCCCTTATACAAGTGCATGCGGTATACAACACAGTTCTCATCAGCTCACAAGCAGAGCAGAGTCGATTAATCGAGTCCGGTGTGAAGTGGCAGATCTCCAGCACATCGCAGGACAAAAAGATACATGTATAAATGCCCGTAGTTTCTAATTGTAAAATATTTGATATACAAGTTACATGAAGTTGGCATATTAGGAAAGAGAAAAAGCCTGAAAACCATGCAGAGATAAACTGAGACAAGTCACTGACCTGCTACCTTCAGTTCTATTACAGCTTCTTCATAAGTAATACCATCCTCAACAAGGCATTTGTATTGCCCCTCATCTGAAGGCCTGATATTGAGAATTGTCAGGGAAACATTTCCATCTGTGATGCCATCTTTCCAAAACGCTGTCCTTCTCTCATATTCTGGCAACTGTCGTCCAAACTGATCTTTCCCATCACGGTACAGATGCACATAATTTGTGAACTCAGACCGGAACCACCTCACTTGCATGTTCTCAGCGCTCATGCTGGGGGACAGGTGGCATGGTAATACAATCTCTTCCCCCACAATGGCAGTGATTGGCTGATCAGGTCCAACAACTGTAAACAGGGCTGTAAAAGGTACCAAGAAACACCCCAAAATAAGTTGAGAAGTAAAAAGAGAAATCCAAAATTCTCAGCAAAAAGGTGGATACTAGGTCTGTGCGAGTAGGCAGCTATTCAATCTGGCTTTGGATTTGGCCGCTTCAGATGCCAGGGATCCAATCCAGAGCTCCGGACCGGGGTCCCACTTCGATCTGGCTGAAGTGGCTCCGAAGCTTCGGAGCCACCTCGAAGATCTGGCCATAGGATATAATGGGGAATCAATTAAATATCTATAACTTTGTTGTTTTTTGTCTTATTTGGATTAAACTTGCAGGAGTGGTAGCCTCTGCTTAGAGCATGAAGTCTACCAAGTTTCAAGTGTCACAACCCAAGGGTGTGATTTTGTGTGTGTGCGCTTCGGCACTGCTAAATTATTTCCCGCCACAAGGAGCTTTCTT